GCCGCCGCTTAGGTCATCTTCGCCACCCGTCCTAAGCACCGTACAAATCCATGCTTCGTCAATGGAAATCCTAAATTATTGAAGATCTCTCCTAGGCCGTGAGCATGTTGTGTGGAAAACTAGGAAGAAACTATTCAAATGGTTATGTTTTTAGTTCCGAGGGATAAAATACGTTCTCTGGCGCACTTGGGTAGAAAATCAAATTGAATCTACTACATGCACACCATATTGCAAGCTTTGCTGCTGATATGAACTTAGACCAGATGATGGAATATGTTGTTGAAGTAGATTTTGGAACTACTCGATGAATGTGTGATGATAATTTAACGGTTTTGAATGTGGACGATGATTCTTGATGTCCCATTAGCAAAAGAGATTAGTCATTGTAGTTAGATAACACCATTACTTTTCTATCATGAATATACATTATCAAAATATTGACAATCATTTTTTTCACACAATCATTTCTCCCAATATTCATTGAGGTCTAAAAATTAATTCTCATCTTTTGAGCGGTTGAAAAAGTATCATTCTATCAAAATTTAATGAGGAATGGAAATTAGTTTTGGCTTACTCGACGAAGAGTGCTCCAAATATGCTTACAACCGGTTTTATTCTATGGAAACAAAATATGGGCCTTTTTCTACAAACAAATTATCTAAGATAATGATGATTCAATTGCACGAGTTCTTAGCTGATTGATATACAATCACGGTTTATTATGTAATGAGAATTTTTTTTTATCAAGGAGCGGTCGTGCAAAGTCCAATTGTAATACTATTTCCTATGAAGAAGTCAAAAAGTATAGGTAAGATGAGGAAAAAAAATTAAGATTTCAGTATTTTTTCTATCCCAAAATAATGATTGTGTACATAGCAAGAAATTAATTTTGCGTTTTACTAATCAAGAATTAATTGAAGTAGTATTTGTTGATAGATTAAAGAAAGTACTAGACTTCTTTTACAAACTTTAAAGGTTTCTAGTGGATAGTTTTTCGTTTTTAATCCACATTATATAATTTGATAAACTTTTTATTATGAAGGAATAGTTAATGAGGAAAGACTACATGTGGTAACGGATTTATGGGTGGACAGATTGATACGGGCAAAATATGTTAAATTCTTTGTTACAAATTATATTAATTCCTTATATACTTTCTTTAAGTATTGTTGTGCTATCGTATTTGCTTTCACAAATCTTGCATTTATTTCATTCATGAAACTCATTCTTACATCTTGTGTATCTCTTACATGAACTTTAGTTGCTGCCTATTGGCTACAAAGTGTAAATAAAACAGTTGATCATCTCAGATTTGGCTATGGTTATATATTTTGGAGTTCGTGTTACTTGATCATCATCAGCACCAACATCAGCGTCATATACTTCTCCTTTCTCCAATCATTTGTATATTAGCTTTTGCGTTTTGAAACATAATTAATTTGTTATTATGTTTTTATTAACTCTATTATGATTTTTGTACTAATCAATATATTAAAATGGGTTCGAGAAAGTACTAGTTACAAGACGTATTCTGACATGAGCAAATGATTTGTAACATTATATTTCCTATCATTCTCTAATGTGAAGATAGAACAAAATGGAAAAGAAACAAGAAAGTTAAAATTAAAAAGAACGGTACTAATGTGCAGAAATAAAGTGATTAAATGTCTAAGAAAATCAATAAATAACTAAAATCAAATTTTGAAATAAGGTAATGAATAAATAGAAAATAAATAAGATCCAAGATGAAAAAAAAAACTTTCTATAGTCAATCTCTAGCTAACTTAAAAGTTTCATTACGTTGAATTGAGATTGCCAACTGACCAACTTGGAATTATATTGAGAAAAACACAGCTATTTTCATTTGCTCTAAGACATTTCTAAGATCATGAATTTATCAATGCTCTCGTGTGGCCGTTGTACGAATTTAGTATTTACATCATTTCTTAGTATCCGTTTTAAATTTTCTTTCTTTATTTCTTTAAAAAAGAATATTGAAATACCAATTGTCAAATTATTTTTCCGTATAGAGTACATTTGACAAATAGTGTCTCTTTTCAATCTAATCTCTATCATTCCTTCATGGTGCAAACCGCTCTAATATTTAAATTGTTTTCTTTGCAGTTACCTATACTTTTAGTATTTCAACACGTTGGCATGCATGTTATCACGTGCTTTCTCCCACCGAAAATATAATGCAATTAAAATCGAGTATTGACAAATGTTTTCAGTAATTTCTTTCCGTGAAAATGTAAAGGGTAGAAACCATTGCCGTGGTAGTTTTTTCATTTTTTAGTCACATTTTTGTTATCTAGCAATAGGTATCACAACATCGATTGCGTTAATGAACCACAAATTATTATATAATTGAGTGAATGTATCATAGCTAGTGTTGTAAAACAACCTTTAATAATTAAGCTGACACTTAACTAATAAATAGTTTAAGATTTCTCTTGAAACCATTTCATTGTCCATGATAATTAACAGAATTATTTAATTGCTATGTAAAGGTTGTTTATATACCAGATTGATCACCATTATGAAAGACAGAAAGATTGATTCTAAACGAAAGGAAACAATAAGTCACATTATGGATCCGTCATATGATAAAAGGAGTGAACTTTAACATTTTTCCTTCATCACATTTCAGCTAGCCTTGTCCTGATCTACACTTCTTTTCTTCTGGCTCCTCTTTTTTTCCCTTTCTCACAACACATGTGGTGCTCGAAATCAAAAGTTGTTGACGCTTTATTTTATTTAATATATGATGGAAACAAATTTAAGAAAAGGGAAGAAATTTTTTTTGGAGATTTTTGTAATCATGATATCCTACATTAATCATATTTTAGTCAAACATTAATCACTCAAAAATTAGTAGGGAAATCAAAATACACCAAATTAAAAAATCGGAATAAAATATTAACTATTTTACTAAATTAAGACAATTTAGCTACCATTCTATGCATAAATTAAGAACCAAACCTAAGAAATGTTGAACAATTAGAAATTAAATTAAATCTCCCTCGTTCATCTTAATTAGATATGGTTTCCTTCCCTCAACGTAGTTAGTATTTTAATTACCAACCAAAATTTGACTTCAATCAAATAAAATAATCCTTGTATGAAAGAAAAGAAAGAAAGAATATTCCTCTCTTTTTAAAGAAATTTTTTTAAAAAAAATCAAGGATTGAGAAATTTATTTTAGATTACCAACATCTCAAAATAATCCCAACTCCACCGGAAAATACATTCACTACTAATTAAGATAAAGGACATGAATGACCTTCACACATATTTCCAATGGAATGGAGAGCAGTATGGAGAATGAGAATAGAGCATTTTAATTTAAATGGTGTAAGACGTCAAACCATATAAGTCACATCCACACGTGTAATGACGTCTGTTACTCACCTTCATTTCATTTTCCTTCTACCATGATAAGTAGAGAACCCAAATAACCAAATGCTCATCACTTCAAGTTTCAGTGAATAAATTTTCTTAGGGAGGTGATAAACCTTTAAAAGCTTCTGTTGCTATATTTCTTCAAATATTTATATAGGATTCGTGTGGAAAATGCACAAATGCATAAAATTCATGAGTGTCTCATGGATTGTGTGTTTCTAACATAGTTCTTTGTTTTTCTATACAAGAAATTTGTACAAAGTTTCTTTTGATTGAAAGAGATTTTTAGTGGGGGTAATTTCCTCTTAGTTGGGACTGTGGAGGATTTCAAGAAAACTATTCCAGCCATTGATGGTAATAAAAGCTAAATGATCTCTCATTTTTTTTCAATGAGCATGTTTGAACTCTTACCATTTTCTGAATCTTTTTCTATTGATGCATATTGGTTTGATATGTATTTGAGGTTGTTATGCTTGTGATCATAAGTTTCTAGACTTATTCTTATTATATTAATTGTTTTGCTGCAGGTTGAATTTCTTACTAGGGGTCTTTCATTTGTTTAGATTTCTACTTAGATCATGAGATTATAATCATAGTAAGTTCTTCAAGTTGAGAAATTTAATGTTGAATTTTGCGTTTGGATTGTGAGGTAGGTTTCATTAAAATGCTCACTAATAAATTACCGATGCAAGTTTCAATTTGTTTTATAAAATAATTTGTATAGACACTTCATTCATTTTACAAAATAAAAACTGATTTTTGATTGGATTTCTATGTGTTTAATTGACTGGAAATGACCGTTTTTCTCAAGTTCAGTTTAGAATATATTGTCATTCCATATTATATTTTTTATTCTTTTTAAATTCTTTCAATTTGTGGGTTACTTTTGTTAATGTCCCTCTTTTAGATCTTTTGTGGGTCTTTTTCCAGCTGTCATTGATGTTATATATGTATAAATGATTTCTCTATATATTGTTCATTTACTATGGTAATTGATTTAACAATCTAAAGCCAAGCATTCTATATCCACATTGAGTTACTATTTTGGCGTAAATAAGGTTTTGCCCATTGCCATATGTAATATAAAAATCTTATCTTTAGATTTAACAATCTAAAGCCCAGCATTCTAAACCCACTAGTATTTGGAAAATTATTTGTCATATGTACTTTATTTCCTGAGATGAAACAAAAACTATTTTTGGTATTCCATTAAACGGAATTTAATAAGATTGGCTAAACTTGTGAGTTTTAGTGATCTTTCAAACCACTTGGTTTCTACTTTCTAGTTTCTAGTTCATGAAATTCTTGACAAACATACCTTGAGTGTAGTGTATTTGAAATATCAATGTTTTATTTATATTCTATACCTGCCATTAGTAAACACTAAACACAGATTGTGTTTATAGATTCTTACCTCTTCTATATGGTTCACTTTTCTTGTTAATATTTTGCTCGTTAAATACTTGTGTATATAAGTTTTTGGCAATGATGTTTTTCCTTTTAAAGGCATTGTGACATTTTACTAAATTATGATGTAATAAACTTGTAGGTTTAATTTCGACTAAGCCATGTTGTCAGAAATAGTATCACATCCTATCATGAAGGGCTTGCTAAGTACATTTGATGTGACTCAAACTGCAAAGCGAACACGTGAGAATATAGCCGACAAAGCAAAAGATATGAAAGATAGTGGTGATTCGACCACTAATTCACTCATCTCAGAGCTCGGTCGTGATCTCTCAATGGAGTACTTAGCGTGCTGTCCAGGGTAGATTATGGTAAAATTTTGATGGTCAATCGTAGTTTCAAGTCCGTTATCTTTGGTGGAGAAGAGCTTTATAAGCTACGGAGGCAGTTAGGCATCGTTGAGCATTGGGTTTACTTCTCATGTAATCGCGCAGAATGGGAGGCCTTTGATACAGTTGGGTATAAATTTAGGAGTTTACCACCCATTCTAGCCAGTGAATGTTTCAAGTGCTGTGACATGGAGTCGCTAGCTGTGGCTACCAAACTTCTCGTCTTCGGTAGGGAAGTCCAATCACTTAGTGTTTACAAGTATAGTGTAGTAACGGACTCATGGGTGTATGTAGTGACTCCAAACACCCCAAGATGCCTATTTGCCTCTGGCAACCACAACGAGATTGCTATCGTGGCTGGTGGTTGTGATTCAAAAGGGAAGATTCTAGGCTCTGCAGAAATGTATAAATCGAATACAGGAATGTGGCAACCTCTCCCGAGCCTAAATACACCAAGAAAATTGTGTTCAGGTGTTGTTATGGATGAGAAATTTTATGCAATCGGGGGGGAATGGGTTTGGGAAAAAAGGTGTAGACGGTGAAGTTGGTAACCCGAAGGTGCTTACATCCGGCGAGGTATTTGATATGAAGACCAATGTTTGGGTGGAAATTCTGAACATGCTTCCTGGACACATTGTAGAAGGAGTTGATGAGAATGCTCTTGCAGCCACGAGGTCGCCTCTTTTACTTGCTGTTGTGAAGAATGCGTTATACGCGGCATATCATGAGGAAATGCTTTTGAAGAAATACAACAAGAGCCTCAATATTTAGACGACAATCGGTAGGTTACTGGAAAATGCCTCCTCGACAAATGGTTGCGGATTAGCGTTTAGAGCTTGCGGTGATTTACTCATAGTTATTGGTGGCCCTCATTCTATGAATTATGGGTTCCTTGAGATCAATGCATGGGAGCCGAAGGAAGGTCCTCCAGAGTGGACTTTGCTCAGTAGGAAGGATTCAAAGAATTTTGTCTATAATTGTACTATCATGGGTTGTTGAGCCACATTCGTTGGATTTAGAGGAACATGGACTTAGAATGGATTCTCAACCATCAAGAAACAATTTACTGCTCTTGTTATGATTATGTAATTTACATATGACCTATAGAAATTAATTTTTTGTTATTTATAGCTTGAAAGAAAAGTGAAAAAGAAATATGTTATACATTATAGTTACAGACGTTTTTTTTTTTTAATTTCTTGTTCTGAAACTTTGTGAGGTTTCATTTGCAACAGTAATGAAACTTTAGTTTTAGATGATGATACTGATGATTTTTAAAGGAAATGTCTTTTGATTCCTTATTACAATAAGTTGTTTGTTTTTGAAAAAAAGGAGCGATAAATGTATTAACTTGCTAGAAATCGATTTTACTTAACTGCCTCAATTCAATGATCACAGTTAAGTTATCATGTAGTTTTTGGGATCGATTCTTAACCTTAATATTTCCCCACCAAAGTGTAATAGAAGAATCAATTCAAGTATATTACAAAAACTTCTCTTACTACAACATCCTTGCATAGATTTGAAACTACAAATAAAGAAACTACTTCCATATGATGCCAGCGCATTCTTTGATTCATCGCAATACAATTTAACAATCAAAAGAAGTGGTGATGATTTTGTTTCTTGTACCTGGGGTAAATTTTGTGATACTAAGTAAACTTGCATTTTATGATACTAATTAAAAGTCACAAATTTTTTACTATAGTGCACAACAGGTTTGAAACTTTTATACATTTAGAGATGATCAACAAACTTATGTAAATGCAACCTTTAAATTAATGTGATGAGACACTCTAAAACAATGCTCTTTTTTTTCTTCTTGGACTACATTTATGCTTAGTTTCTTTACTGTTCTTGCTCTCTAATATAGAAAGAGTAATCCGCATATTTCACCCAGGTACATTAGGACAAAAACACAATTTTACCCTTTATATTAAATTTAAACATTTTCTTTCCATACATTTAACTTTAATACTTCTTCTTTTTTCAATCAATAGAAAAGTTAGGATGACTTCCAGGTCCCAACTAGCTCAAAAAAACTCAAGGGGTCTACCCAGGAGGTAAATTTTTAACTAGTGAGTGCCATATAGTATAATGCACCCAAGGGGGAGTTTTTGAGTTAAAAAATGGTTCAAAAAAAGGAGTAGAGATAAATAAAGGTCGAATTTTGTGGAAGAGCAAAATACCGATATCAGATTCCTAAAATCCGATTTTTCAATTAACTCGGATTCTCAAAATCTGACCTTTACTTAATACGAAAAATTAATAAAATTAATCAAGATTAAGACAAGGTCGGATTTTGAAAATCCGAACCTATCATATTAAAATAAAATATTTTCAAGAAAAACACTTAGTTTTTTTTTGAAATAAAATTTTGACCAAGGTCGCATTTTTAAAATCCAATTTTAGTATAAGGTCAGATTTCAGAAATCCGGGTAAGCTTAAATCGGATTTTGAGAATTCGGGTAAGATAAGTTCGGATTCTCAAAATCCAACTTCCTAGTAAAACAAGTAGAAGGTCGGATTTCGCAAATCCGACCTTGGACAGAAACTTTGAAAAAAATAAAGGATTGGTTTCTAAACCAATCCCAACCTATCAAACAGCACCAAAACCAAATTTCACGCTTAAAATTACCTAAAACACATTCTAAACACATCGAAACAAACATTAACAAATTCAAATCCCAAAATTATCCAAATTACAACATTTATTTAAAGAGTTATAAATCAAAGAGTCCTACAATTGAATTACTTTGACGACCTTTTCTTCCTTATAGCCCCGTCGCCGGGAGTATACTTCTTGGCCGGTTTACTAACCCTATCACTCTTGCGAACCTCGACCGTTTTCTTTTTCTTTTGGGAAGAAACACGAGGTGGAGAGGACTCTTCTTCTTCTTCTTCTTCTTCTTCTTCTTCTTCTTCGCCCCTAATGTAGTAATCCTCATCGCTTTTGTTGCCTTCATTATCTTCATCATCTTCTTGTATCGGAGTTGGATTGGGATGAACTATGATTGTTCGATCTGAAATTCCCGGTCGCTTCCTCCTTCCACCTCCAGTAGGCTTCGATGTTGTTTTCAGCGTGAGCACCACATTTTGACTTGACTTTGGGGGTCTTTTCTGAAGAACTTGAGTATCGGGCTGAGTGCTCATATCACGTGGGCCCAAAGTCAGGGCACTGAAACTCTTGTCGAAGATTTAGAAGAGTTTATCCTCTAGACTACCACCGAGGCCTAGATTTTCCCGTAAGGCTGCATCAGAGAGATGATATATGTCGCTGAGATTTGAAAACTGCAGAAAATTGAACCATGTTAATAAAGTATATATAGCAAGAATTAAAAAATAAAAAAATTTTAAAATAAAATATCGACATATATCTTACATAAAATCTCTCCAGAGATGAAGACGAGTGATAACCCTGAGCCAGAGGGCCGTATTGAGTGGGATCAGTCATAAATCTGATAGTCTTCTTTTGAAACTACGACATGTAGTCTGATGTGCATTGAGGACCTAGTTCCGGATCAACCAATTCATGAGGGACCACATGCTGATCTCTCACATTCCAATGAGGTCGTACCCCGGTGTTTTTTGCACCCAATCATCATATGCCTTTCCAGTCCCAAGGCATCCGTGGTGTATCGCATTCCAGTGATCAATGTCATTGATTAACGGGTACTCTGGCACAGTTTGCACACCTTGAAATTGACGAAGGACCCGATTGGGCTTGTATGGTTCTCTGATGGCCCAACAAAAGATCCACGTCCTACAGAGGTAGAAATGAACCCCCTCTTTACAGAAATCAGGGAGATCGTCGATGAAGGGAGTGTATGGAGTCCATAGAAACTGTCCAAAATTAAAAAATTGGTAAAAAAAATAGAGAAAAAAATGAAAAGGAATTTTATCGAGCAACTTAAATCAATACTTACATCCCCATCCCTTAGGCTAGATAACTGATCCCTGATGCCAGCAACATAATGAGCGGCGATGTTCACTTTGGATTTTGGGCATTTCCACCTACGGTTGAGACATAATAGGAAATAAAACTTAATAAAATAAATCATTGGATTGAGACATAATAGAAAATAAAAATTGATAAAATAAATCTATAATTACTTATTGCCTAGTGGTGCATCCGGCACCAAGTAACTCTCATCTTTAACCTTCCTCTTCGGTTGAAGTCTTGGGATATGCTCCCAAACCCATAACTGAAATTTTAAATCAAACAGAAAAGGCACAAATTAGGAAAACAAAAATATAATAAAAAAAATATAAATAAACAAAGAAACAAAAAAATTTACCTGGATCAGCATATAACATCTGGTAATATCTCTTTTCCCAGGCGGGGAAGCTTGACACAAAGCAAAGTACAACTTCGCTAACACAGCTGACCCCCAACTGTAGGTAGCACAGACATCCAAATCCTTGAGTATTGTCAGGATCCAAAGCGGTATTCTGTTTTCCGTATTGTCAGGAATCAAGAAACCTCCAATCAGTAGTAAAAGTAATGCATGGGCCCTCTGTATATAGGCCTCTCTTGGAGCATTTTCTGGGATCGGACGTAGACACTCGTTGATTAAACACTCTGCATAAATCTTATTCCCATCAAACATGTCACTAACGGGTGTAATTCCCAACAATCTAAAGCACATCGCCATCCACTGTGCCATAGAATTCTCAGGTGTCATCCCCTCCACAGGCTTACCATCCACTTTCAAACCTAATAACATCTCAACGTCTTCTAGAGTGATAGTGGCCTCGCCAAAATAAAAATGAAAGGTATGAGTTTCAGGCCTCCACCTCTCAACCACTGCGGTGATCAAACAATTTTCCGCTTGGATATAACCTAGTTGGATCACCCCCCAAAGCCTGCCCGCTTTATCTCATCTATAACTTGTGGAGGGCAATGCCGGGATGGTTTCTCTATACACCTCCAAAAATGACTATCAAATCTCCTACCTTTAAGGGCTTTACTAAATGCCTCATGGTTCTCGAAAATGGCTTTCGCCCTATGATGGTCATAAAGGTATAATAATGAGTCATCTATTGGAGCCGGATTAAAATGTTGCAGTGTAGGTTACGAGGAGCTCGAACCCTCCATTTTTTAATCCTACAATACCAAATACTATCAACATTTATCAATACCAATACTATCAATAACATTACTATCAATATCATGTTCCATATTCTATCAATTCACAAACATACAGAGTCACAAACACACACACACACACTGAATTGGTCACCGGGAAACACACACACACACACACAGTCACCGAAAAACACACACACACACACACAGTCACGGGGAAACAAACACACACACACACACACAATCACCAGAAAACACACACACACACACACAGTCACCGGGAAACACACACACACACACACACACACACACACACTGAATTGGTCACCGGGAAACACACACACACACACACAGAGCCACCGGCAACACACACACACACATTGAATTGGTCACCGGGAAACACACACACACACACACAGTCACCGGGAAACACACACACACACACACACACACACACTGAATTGGTCACCGGGAAACACACACACACACACACACTGAATTGGTCACCGGGAAACACACACACACACACACACAGTCACCGGCAACACACACACACACACACACACAGTCACCGGCAACACACACACACACACACTGAATTCGTCACCAGGAAACACAGACACACACACACAGTCACCGGCAACACACACACACACACACTGAATTGTTCACCGAGAAACACACACACACACTCAGTCACCGGCAACACACACACACACACACTGAATTCGTCACCGGGAAACACACACACACACAGTCACCGGCAACACACACACACACAGTCACCGGGAATTAAAATGAAATAAAGGGACAAATTACCTGAAGGTCGCCGGGGAAGGGAAATTGCCGGGAAGGGGAAATCGCCGGGGAGGGGAAATCGCGAAGGGGAGGTGAAATCGCCGGGCGCCGGGAGTCGATTAGGGTTGGAGAAGAAGGGGGAGTCGATTTTGACTCCCCCAAATTTTGGTCAACCGAATAGATAGTCCGAATAAATCGGATTCTGAAAATCTGATTTACTCAATAAGTCAAAAGGTCGGATGTTAGAAATCCGACCTTGGACAGAGAGTTGTGAAGTTGGTTGCAAATTTTCACCAAAATCCGACCTTGGTCCAAAATCCGACCTAGGAGTGAACAGTGCAAAAATCGGATTCTGAAAATCCAATTTCGGTCCTACATCGGAATTACCAAATCCGATTTTCTTTGAAGCTCGGATTCAGGAAATCCGGGTTTATGCCTAAATCGGATTTTTTAATTCCGACTTATACCCTAAAACTACAAAATATTGTTGCACCTGGCCTTTTTTAACAAGTACTAATATCAAACACAATAACAATATATTAAATGAACTAATTCATTAAGCATACAATACAATTCAAAAGAACTAAAACATAAACTACAAATCAAACAAACTAAAGCATAAACTACAAAAGTTTTGAGACATGAAACATTGTTTTGCCACATAAACAACAATTCAACCAAACAATCCTAGTCGTTATGAATACCATCGGCGTCCCAATTGATCTTGACCTTTTCCTATCGGATTTCTTGTGTGATTTTGGGGACACATTGGTGAAATGATTCCTTGAGCTACATCTCAAACATTCACCCCTCGATTTGCGTCCCCTATAATCCATTTGCATTTTAAATCTCTTTTTTTGCCAACGACCGGGTCCAGCATGCATAATAACTCGCTCATAGTTAGGAACGAGTCTCCATCCAACCTTAGGCCATCTTCTCATATCAGGGGCCGGGGAAAAGTCATCGCGCCCACTGAATTGGTCTTGCCAAGCAACAACCCTGAAATATGGATTCACCGTATTGATTGGTTGATCTTTTATCTTCTGACACACAGCTAGTACATGTGTACAAGGGAACCTATACTCTTGCCACTTCTTGCAAGAACACTTCTTCTCTTCATATTTCACAGTGTATGTGTTGTCTCCTTTGCCACCAAGTCGGGCTTTACTTTTCACCTTGAACTTGCCATTAATAGCACCATAACGGTTGATTTTGCATTGCACGGCTTTCTTATCTTTTTTCTTGAAGTCTTCTCACAAGTCAGTTGGAACCGGCGTAATACATTTCCTCGACTTCACGTACTCTTCCTGGAACAAATCCACAGTCATAATAAAAGTGGCTTCCACCAAAGCTCGGATCGACAAGAAACGAACGCCCTTGAGGACGTTGTTGTAGCTCTCAGAAATGTTTGTTGTCTGGTTACCCCAACGATAGTGTTTGTCTTTGGCAAGAGTCCACTGACAAGCATCAATCTCCTCGAGATACAAATAAGCATCATTGCTAAAATCACGCAGCTCTTTCCTTAGTTATTTGAATTTAGACTTAGAAAGTTTTGTGCCCATCTCCCAACACAACCTTTTGATCTTTTTACTTCGAAACTGCGCCACCAAGTTACTACGGACGTGAGGAAGGCGAAACCGGTGGTATGTATTCCATTCGGGCATTAGGCGTATTGCACTGATGATACCCTTGTGCCGATCGGATATAACACACACAGGACGGTCGGATATAACATGATTCCTCAAATGCTTCAAAAAGAATGACCAACTTTCCTCACTCTCTTCGTCCATGATCGCATAAGCAATTGGCAGGATGCGCTTATTCGCAGTCTTGACCATTGCAGCAAGTAATTTACCTTTGTATCTGCCACGCAAGTGCGTCCTGTCGATACTAATCACCGTAGGAAATTTAGCAAAACACTCAATTGCAGGCTTGAATGCCCAAAAAACGTATGTGAACGTCCTCTCTATATCGGTCCTATCCGGTTGCCATTCCCACTCTACAACTGTGCCGGGGTTGCTCTTCTCTATGGCGGCGAAAAACCTAAATTAAAATAAAAAAATTAATCCTTATTTTATTCCAAAATTACAAACAAATCAAAAAAATTAGATAGGACTTGAGTAAATACCTTGGAAGTATGTCAAAATTGAAAATCCAGTCGCCGTAAACAAGATCGATAGCTTTTCTCCTTCCCTCCCATGCCCTGTGGTAAGGAACATCGACATGCATACGGTCTTTCACTTCTTCCTGAACGAGCTTCACTTCATAATCTGGGTCCAACTCAACCTTATGCCTTATGAGATGCGCAATAAGCGTTGCGCTCACATTCCGATTATTATTTTCCTCGGTGAAATTCATACAATTGTGCTCGGGCACCCATTTCACAATCTCCCACAAACCGTGGTCTCTCAAGGAGGCACGTACCTTCCAACGGCAAGGAACATAACCCTTAGGGGTTGACTCTTTTAGGGATTTCCACCAAATATACCATGTTGAACCATCACTTTCCTTCACATAAAACTCTCTCTTTTGCTCTATGTTCCACGCTGCAATACCATTTTTTGCTTCTTTCTTATTCTTGAAACAAGTCCCTATCCCAATTTTTGCGGTTGTTCCGTCCCACATGGTAAGTTGAAATTCATCCTTGTCCATTTTTGTATGATCCAATGTACCCTGTGAACGATATATGTGCCTGTCCTTTGTGGCGAATTTGTCTTCGACCTCTTCATCACTCTCCCGACTTCCTTCGGATATTGATTGGTTTTCATCGCTTTGATCACTTATCGATGTGTAATCCTTATCATCTTTACCGTGATTATATTCCATGTGATCGCTATCCGCCATAAATGGTCCACCCACATCATCATCTTCCATGTAATCGACATTCTCCACATTCGGCCTACCACTACTTGTCCCTACTTCCAAATGGGACCTAGAAGTACCCGCCACCTCCAAATCTACATACAAATCAATATATGTCGAATTTGGGAGGAAATGCAACACTTGCAATGATGCGTCGTCCTTGATTTTGGCGATACGCCTAAAACCATTGCCCATCGTATCATACAAAATCGATAGACTAAAATTCACATTCTCTCTATTCCACCCCGCTCTTTCACAAATCAGTCCAACCAAATCATTTTACAATAACTTATGATCAATCACAAAGGAATCGTCCGGCATGTTGTTAAAAGTATTCACAATCCCATTCTTCACTACAAATTTGCTCGACCAATAGACATTAATGAAATATGGACTGTTAAACGCCATTTATATCTGTTGATTACATGAATTACAACACATCATGAACAAATTATTAAAAAAAATGACACAAACAAGGCATTATCAAATAACTTATTATAACAATTACCACAAGCAAGACATAATCAACACTAAATTTACTAAACCCCCTACAAATTCAAAAGTTTAGGCCAAATTCAAGCATTTTACTAAATTGAATGTTCAATACCACGTATACAACAACAATCATCAACTACACCCAACATCAACCCCAAAACCTTATAAATCATCCTAGTTCTACACTTTTACAAAGAAAATAACAATAATAATTCTAAATACATCAAAACATTAACTAACCTTCTTGTGAAATGGTTTTAAGACATCCGTTGCGAAGAATCGTGAACAAAATCTTCAAATCACCACTAAAATCACCTCTTCCTTCAAGAAATAGCCTCCTTTACCAAAAACCCCGATATGTGAACAGTGTTTTCCGTCGTCTCATTATAACACAAAAAGGTCAGATTTCTAAGATCCGAGTTTATAAGTATAATCGGATTTAGGAAATCCGATTTACTTGTAAGGCCGGATTTCAAGAATCCGACTTTCAGCCAGCTAATAACGTCCATTCAATGCCGATATCTACTGTTAGGTATGCTTAAATACAAAATCCGACCTTGTACTGTTCTTAATTTTCAAATCTCCCGCCTATTTTTTTTAATAAAAATAAATAAGGTCGGATTCCTAAAATCCAACCTTTTACTGTTCATTATTTGACTTTCAATATATTTTTGTCACATGTATTTTCAGAAAAAAAAAATTGTTATTTTATTAAATCGGATTCGTTAAATCCGAACTACTAATTTAATTAGTAGATCAGATTTTGTAAATCCGATCTCAACATTTTGCTTTACAAAAAAAAAAGAAATATAGATCTCTCTACTCCTTTTTCTAGTAGATTTTTTAACCAAAGCACCCACCCAAGGGGTCTACCCAAGGGATGGACATTTATACTAAATTGTTCCCTAGTTTCACCCCTCTCTGAATTTTATTGATTACCCATAAGAGAACTTGACAGTGCTTAAGACTTACCAGTATAGAAAGGTCTATTTGAAGTGACTACGCATATATGGAAAGGAAACCTAATCTAGTAAAACAAGTCCCCTAATATGTCTAGGTAAAATAGCGTTTAAGTTATAATGCTTTGAAGTCCCAAGGGATGCTTCTCTAGCTAAGCCATCAGGCACTACATTTGCTTCTCTGATAATGTGAGAAATAGTGTAGGAATTTCTTTGCATGATGTGATGAATCTCCAAGATCTGATTAATGAATTTCCAAGGAACCGTCTTCATATCAATCAAAAGGTCCGCCAGAGTTTTATTGTCTGTTTGTATTGCTACATTTTTCAGCACAAGATGGTCAGATTTTCTTGGACCAAATAAAAATCCATATACCTCCGCCCCAAAACTATCTCCACCACCCGTGTAACCACTCTCAGCAAAGACAAAATCTCCTCAATTCCTCCTTACACAAAAACCATACCCCAAATCCATATTCACCAATGAGCCATCCGAGTTCAGGACATACTCAAGATTCAGGAGCCTTCCAAGAAACAGCAATACTACTTCGCACTTGCAAGTTTGTCAGCAGAATGCCAAACACATTTTCAATCAAAACCTTTTCCTCCTCACCATTGGCCCTCAAATCATGCGTTAGGACATTCCGCATAGCCACAGTGATTGCCTCAACCACCTATTCAAAGTGATACACAACACCCTCAATTATAACACTATTTCTCACTTTCCAAACTTCCCAAAGAAGAAGTGATGGAAGCATTTTAATCATAGCCTTGCGCGCTATTTTGAAACAGCCGCACTTCCACCATTGCTGCAAGACATCTAGTAATATTGCATTATGTATTCTTCTTATTCCAAACAAATTAGAAAAATGCAGCCAAATTTTCCTAACTTCTGGACACCCAAAAAAACAATGCCATATGGAACCCTCATGATTTTTACAAAAAGGACAAATAGATGGCCTTACCTGTATTCCAAATATGCTCAAGATTTCCGGAAAAGGAACTAAAAGGTTGCGTAACTTCCATACAAAAAAAGAGATCCTCAAAGGAACCAACTTGTGCCTATAATTCTTGGATATGTTATCATCAAAGCCCCTCCTCCGTAGCTGATGATATTCTGTTTTAATGGAAAAAATTCCAGAACACTGCCATACAAGTATATCTTTCTCTTCTGTTAGGGTTTCATCATGGCAAAGCAAAGAATGAGCCACCCTTGGTGACAGGGTTCCCTGCAAAGCATTCAAATACAAGCTTTTATGAGACAAAAATTCATTAATACTTAGCTGCGGGAAAGGTGGAGGAGCAGACGTATCCTCCCATATGACTTCCTCTTGCATCCAATTATCGAACTAAAATGAACGATCTCCCCCGCGAATCACAACTTTCGCATGTTTTGACGCCTCCATATCCACCTTCAAAACTCTACTCTAAGAAGTTTTATTCCTTTCTGTATTTGAAAGAGAAACAATGAACTTGCTCCATAATCCATGTTGCTGCTTTAATTTCCACCAATGTTTGCATGAAAAAACTTGTATCACATCCTGAAACTTTTGCAACCCTAAACCATTTTCCGAGACTGGAAAAGTCCAATGATCCCATGCTCTCCAATGACGTTTCCTCTCTTCACTAGTCTCTTGCCATAGAAATCTCTGAGAGAGATTGCCGACAATACATGTATAGGCATTGCTGAAATTACATGTCGCAGAAGAACAAGCCCTTCAACTGAACTCAATAGCTTATTCTTCCATCCAGCAATCTTGGATTCCAAAGCGTCTAAAAGGAATTGAAAATGTGATGCCTTGCTTCTCCCATAGTATAGATTACAGCCCAAATACATGAATGTGAAAGCTCCCTTAGGCATTAGCATAATTCTCTTGATGGCCTCCACCCGAAATGCACTACCAGATTCAGCTACCAAGAAAAAAATTTTACTCCGATTGATTCTTTGACCCAAAGCAATCTCATAGTTCTCAAAAAACCTATTTAATTCCTTTAAGGACCTTGTTTCTCCCCTGGTAAAGACAATTAAGTCATCAGCGAAACTAAGGTGTGAAATTTGCAATAATCCCGCAGGAGTACCATAAGTCGCAATCATCCTTTGTCCAACAAGCTCCTTTAACCGATGTGACATTACCTCAGCCACCAATATAAACAAATAAGGTGAAAGAGGGTCCCCTTGTTTTATTCCACGGGAGGGCTGAAAAAATCCAGTTGGGGAGCCATTTATCATCACCGAAAACCAACTATTACGGAGATTATTCATAATTAGAACGACAAACTGATATGGAAATCCAAACTCTTGAAGTACCTTCTCCAAAAAAATCCATGAGACTCTATCAAATGCCTTCATCATATCAGTCTTCATAACAACATTATTTCCAACAGCCTTGTGATTGATGAACTGACAAAGATCTTGAGCCAATACAACATTATCGATAAGGTCTCTTCCCAGCAAAAAGGCAGACTGTTCTTCAGAGATGAGTTTGGGCAAGACCATCTTCAATCTTTCAGTCAGTATTTTTGTAAAAACCTTGTTGAGGAAATTACATAAACCGATAGGCCGGAAATCCGAGAAAGTACTAACTGAAGTTTTTTTGGGAATTAATGTAATTATCGTACTCCCGGCAGCTCGAGGGATTGGGACACCTCCCATAAATTCTTGACAAGCCGCAAGTAGATCATTGGCAATAATCTCCCAACATGATCTATAGAAACTTCCTCCAAAACCATCAACCCCCGCAGCACTATCTTCATCAAGATCAAAAGCCGCATTTTTGACCTCTTCAATAGTCACTGTCCGAATCAGCCATTCCTTATCCTCCATACTCAGCTCATCTTTAAGACTCCGTAGAAACTCAAGTTGTTTATCATTTTGTTGTATATGAGATTGCTCCTGAGTTTAGAGATGTTGAAAAAAGTTCACCGCTTCATTCTCAATATCCACAAGTTCAGTGAGAACCCTACTGTCTTTTGTTTGAATTTTTTGAATTCCCAATCTCATTTTCCTCTCCGCTAGGGATGCATGAAAATAAGCAGTGTTGTCATCTCCCTCCTTCAACCGTTTTAGGCACATTTTTTGCTTTTAAAAATCCTCCTGCTCCTTGAGCTTTTGAAGCAAGGCAGCTTGCGCAACACTCAAATTCTGCCTATCATTGACATTTTGTGAGTGATCATAGATAATCTCCAACTCCCGCACCTTTCCCTCAGCCAAACGTACATTCTAAAAAACATCTCTAAACTGCATTTTATTCCATTCTTTTAAAAGAATTTTTAAGCGCCGAAGTTTGCTAGAGAATGCTAACATGCCAAGACCAGAAACCGGCTGCTCCCAACTCGTTCCCACCAAATCCATCAAATCATTCCGGCGAAGCCACGTATTTTGAAACCTAAAAACTCTCGGCCTAGTTTCAAGTTGAACATCAAATTGGAGAAGCAATGGACTATGATCCGACGTTGTACGGCTCAAAAGTTTTAATGATGTTTTTGAAAACATATCCATCCATTCTCGAGAGAAAAGAATTATGTCCAACTTCTTGCTAACCCATCCCGTACTCCTCGTACCACCCCAAGTGAACTCATCCCCAACTGAAGGAATTTTGTGAAGATTACACTCCTCAATATTGCAATTGAATTCATCAATGGCTTCATAATCTTGTACGGAATTCCCAGAGTATTCTTCCAATGAGCGTATAACATTAAAATCCCTGTCAACAATCCAAGGTTTTAATGGATTCAGGTCCCGAAAGAGCCCCAGATTCGCCCACAAGGGCCTTCTATCCACTTTGTTCGACCTAGCATACACCGCCATGAGAAGAAACTCCTTTTGTAATGGAACATACGTAACCTCAAAGTGCATCAATTGATCTCCGACTTCTAACTGATCTATTGTATACAACTTACTATGAAACACCCAAATTTTACTTTTACTAGAGGCATAAGCGAAATCAAAATTCAACTCCCTCCTTATTTCATCCAAGTTATGCACAGCAAACATTTGCTCAAGTATTACCAACAAGGATACCTTATACATTCGAATGAGATTTCTCAGCCGATGTTAAGAAGCTTGTTTTCTAATACCCCTTATATTCCGAAAGATGACCCTTATCATTGGAAAATTTTGATTTTATTGAAGGCAAAGAGATTGGCAAAGCTCCTTTCCTTCCAGTAACTTAGCCCGTTCCGCCTTAGATTTGTGGCCTCTTTTACTTTTAGCCGAAAACTTCCCTTGCACATTTTCAACCAATACAGCCGTTTCTTTATCTCCCTCTGACCAACTACCATCCTGATTGGAGTAATCCTCATCATCAGTATCCTTCTGCTCAGACACATAAGAATCATCAGGCTTGTATAGAGTGTTCAACTGATTCTCATTACCCCAAGTAAGCCCATCACCATTGCTAGAAAGAGCCAATTGCCTTTCCCTATTTCCACCAGTATTCGCTTTCTCAATTTCTTTGTCTTTGACTTCCAAAGACTGAGCTTTACTATGCACAAGTTCCTCAGCATCTCCAGATTCATCAATGCTTTGGAGAATCTCAAATGCATTCGACTGTGAGACGGCTACCGATTGAGTTTCTCGTTGAGGAATTTCATCCAGTGTTTCTATAACTTGTATCAAAGGAGGACTATCTAGAATATTAACAACAGTATACTTTTTCTCTTGCATCGTTAACCCTGAAGTTGAGCCCCCATCCACAGCTTCCACCGTGCGCACTAGTAGGGTTACCGCAGGGGGTTCAATTAGGGTTTCCATAGGGGGTTCAACGGAATCTTTTACAACAGGCTGCGATTATGCTCCTTTAATTATAAGGGGCTGCATACTAACAATCTCTACTTGTAGATCAGACTTCTTTTCAGATTGCTTGGATCCCCAACTAACTCTCTGAGTGTTGAGCTTGATACCCCTCTTCTTGGTTACCGGATCCAAAACTGTCATCTCAACATCTTTTTTTGGTGCAGATTTACCAACATGGCAATCAATGTCATTGTGGCCAATCTTACAGCATTTTGAGCAGTAAAAGAGAACGTGCTCATAAGTGAATTCCTGTTCATGCTTGCGTCCTTTCCTCCCAATTCTCACTAATTTCGGTAGCTCTTTCATTAGATTCACTTCCACGCAAAATCGCGCCACTGACGGCCTTTTCATGTTTAGTGTGGGAGTATAAACCTTTAGGGGTTGACCAATTGCCGTTGTCATAGAAAAAATGACCCCCGGATGCATGTAATCAATAGGAAGATCATACAGGGAGGCCCAAACAGGTACCACCGACGGATCCTCCCCAAAACAAAATCCCGGCTTCCATTTCAACATTCACATTGAGTAGCCTGAGATATTCCAAAAAGTTCGGATCCAACATCTTTGATAATCCTCTTCTTGTTCAAATCGAATCAATATATGCCTACGGTTCATGAGACCCAAGGTAAAGATACCATTAAACCCGATCTTCTTGAAGTCTTTGTGAACCTCCTCTATTTTGGGTCTTCCATAGGAAAATTTCCCAACAAGACACAAATGGTGCGATGCTACTAACTTTTCAAACTCATCGTCTTCATATTCCAATGTGGGAGTGCCGTTGATGAATATAACTTGCTTAATGAGAGAGCTTGAATCATTCTGGGTGTTTGTAGCCTTCTGGAAAAAGCTAGCAAAAGATTTTGGCAGCCTAGGGGGAATCGCCGACAAGTGATCTCCGGCCATGAGAGCCAGGAGGAAGATATGACGCTGTCGCAATGGGGTTTGGTATTCGTAAGTGGGGTTTTATGAACCAAACTATACGGAAATCCAAGTGAATGCTTTCATGTGATGTACATTTAAACTTTCAATGATGTAATGGCATGTTACTTGCTTAATTTTCACTTGAGACTAGAAGTAAGAATTTAACCAGTGACATCATGAAAGAGCCCGTCATTTAACGGCTTCATCAAGAAACTGTTTGTTCGAGTGAAGTGATATGAATATTGTCTTTAGCACGTATCCTGGTTTTCCTTGCCAAAGAAACAAGATTTGAAATGGAAAAAGTACATAGTGACCCCATAAAGCAGTTGTATAAAATGTAGACAAAAAGAGAAAAAAGAGTAAAATAATGTGATGATACATAAGATAAAAAGTAAGATTCTTCAAATTTCGTATACTTCTTCGTATGCTCGTGCATTTTGCATTTATAACTGTCACTTAATCCAAGGAAAAGAGGAGGAATAAAATCTGATTTCTTTTGGTTGCTGCCTGTAACAAGAGGAAAATAGGGTTGTACTTTTTGGCCTAAAAGCCACAGATATGTACATCATTCTTTTTCTTCATTTTTGGTCAATAGGAAAAATAATGTTGGACAATATTACTCAACAGGGGCGGAGATACATACATGATTAGAGGGGCAATTGCCCCAGCTGATTTTTTTTTTTAGTTATTACCTCCTAAGATTTGAGATATTTTCTTAAGAAAATTAGATTTTGCCCCACCTAAATTAATAATATTAGGGGCAAACATATTAAATTAGTAGTATTAAAATTTTTCCCCATCACTTCTTCGGGGCCTAGCTCCGCCCCTGTTACTCAACAATACCATACTCACAGGGATAAGTAGTAGGATATAACTCCAATGTCAAGGTTTAATTATCTTTCAGCATTTAGGGTTTGGGAATTTAGTCATACTAATTCTCCGTATTCGTTGAGTGAAAAAAAAATTAGCTACAAAATATCCTAGTTCTTCTTAAGATCAATTCTCAGGGTTTTTTTTTTAAATTCTCCAAGAAGCCAGGCTTTTGTTATTTATTTTCATTGTCGCCATTTAAGTTATTCAATTTTTTTTAATTTTAAAATTGATCACTAGTTCTATTACATCTCAAAACACAAATGCTCCTTAGAAGAAAAAACAATCAAAGAATAAATAATATGTAGAGCCATATCACAACTTCACTTATTGTCTTTTTTTTTTGTGTATTAAAACATTTGAATGCCTAAAGTTGGTATTCATTCTTTTGTCAAAGATCTACTATAGGTTTATAGATGATATGGATGATCATGGCGAGTGATGGTGCCCTTGTGGACTGATTGCCTTATATTTCATCAACAGATACAAAACAGTATCTTCAGGGGGACAAGGGCAAGAGTCACACAGAAAAGAATATTTCTGTCTCACTGGGGGTAAATGGCAGCAAGACAAAACCGGAAAAGCGCTGGAGTTCAAAAGAAGTTCTCGATCAGGGGATATTCTAGCTGCCTCGGATAGAGAAATGATCGACATTGGGAAGATTACCATAGAGAAGAAAAGAAGTAATGCCACCAAAATGGACCTAATAAGATAAGAGTTTTTTTTTAATCAAAAGAAAGAATAGAATGACTTTCAGGTTCAAACTAACTCAAAAAAACTCAAGGGGTATACCCAAGGGGTAAATTTTTGAGCTAGCCAGTGCCATATAGTATAATTCACCCAAGGGGTCTACCTAAGGGATGAACATATATACTATATAGTTCTCTAATTCTACCCCTCCCTGTATATATAATAAATCAAGAACTTGGCAGTGCTTAATACTTACCAGTATTCAGTACAACTATTTATTTCAACATCGCACAAATGGGAAAGAAACTTGGTCTAAGAGAATAAGACCCTAATATGCCTAGGTAAACTTTCCATATTTCTATACATAAAAGAATTGCCAAGTGATGCTTCCCCTGTTAAGCCATCTGCCACTGCATTCACCTCCCTGTAAATGTGTTGTATTGTATAAGACCTCCTTGAGATGATGTGATGAATTTTCATAAGCTGCGCTAGGTATTTCCATGGAAGTGTCTTCAATTTGCATGCTCCACCATGAATCAACTTGATGGGGTTTGGGGTTTTGTTTACTGAAGTTGTCAACATATGTATTGATCCATTGTTCCAGTAAGAATCCGAGTTGAAAAGTGCTTCCCAAAGAAAAGATAATTCTGGTGGTTTGCTCATCGATCTATTAGGTAGGGTTTCGGAAACCGTCAACCAGACTGCCATCCCAGCAAGCAGCCACCTATCGTTGCTTCATACAAGGTGTGTTTCATGTTCCAGCTTCATCGATGTTTATGTGTTGATTTCTTTTTAAGTTTAAAGAATACAAAAAAATTGTCCAATCTGCAAAATTTGTGTATGTTATAATCAAGGGGGGATTGGATTTTAGCCATTTGTGTAAACAGTGGTCATATTCCTTTGTGCAATATATTTGCTAGGAGGGATAAAATTGAACCCGATTTTGAACTCCTTGGCCATGTCCATAAAGTATGCTCCCATCTCATCCTCTGCAAATGTTTACCTCTATCCCTCTCTCGTTCTGGTCAACAAGTTTAAGAGTAGTCTGAAAGCTTTGGTTCTCACTTTAATTGTAGCATTATATTTAAAATTATTTAGCCATTTCACCCAACTAAAGAAGTACTTCTCTGTCTTGTGTTTTTCTGTGATTCAAAAACCCATAATAACTTCATAAACTTTATTTAATTATGAGCTCTTATACAAAACCTTAAGCTGGCCTGGATTATATGTTTGACTTGGTTATTAATCATGTCAATTGTTTGTAGATTTGAGGTCTCATTCCTTTCTAATGTCCGAACCCGATTCTACAAAAGGATTTCCAACCAAATTCCTCGATGATACCACAAAAACAAATGTAGCTTGCCACCTTCAGTCAAGTATGCCTTCTTAACCTTTTCGTTGTGTGTACGAGCTTTATTTCTTTTTCTTTTTTTTTTTTGACGTTTCGATAAATATGTAGGCACCACTAACAGTGAGTATTCCCATTGTATCCAAAGTAGTGCTATTCAATCTTAAACAACATCAAACGACCTTGCCCTTTGCATACAAAATTTTGAAGAGGTATTACTGTGAACAAAACTTGAAATTTATAAAATTTTACTAAAGGAACAAAAAGTAATTATGCTACTCGCCCATTGTTGTTACTGATTCCATCTCACCTAATTCCCTCCTATGTCTCACATGTTCATTTTCTGAAGGAAATGGAATCAGAACGAAGGGAGATGTTACTAGAGGAACTTGCCCACTTTGTGGAGCTCATGGTAGATGCACAAGACAGCAGTTGTCTGACTTTGAACACCTTCACCAAGAAAATGTTTGAAGAGATTGCCGCGGAGTTGCATAAGCACTTCCCAAACCACCGGCCATTCTTAGGTACTCAATTACAACAAAAGATGAATCGGCTTTGTGGCGATTGGCGGTTGTACAAAAAGCTACGGGAATTTTCTGGTGTTGGAGTTAACCCTGAAACGCGTGCAATAATCGCTGACCCTGAACAATGGGTTAAATGGATTCAGGTAAAATTATAATACTGTGTAACATTCGTTGCTGTGTAATGTTGCTGCAGCCTATTGTGTATTATATTTGTGGCTGAAAGTGTTCTTAGCTGGTAAATGGAAAGATGCCAATATGTATGTCATATCTGATGATCTGCCTTTTAGTTGCCAGTGATGATGCTGTGTATTTTGTTGTATCCCTATTTTTTGTTAAGGTAATTTTTTTTCCTATATGTGTACATGCTTTATTGTAAGCCATATTAGACATGTACAATCTGGTTTTCTCTACCATTTCACTGGCTTTTCTCTTGGAAGGTGTTACAACTTTTCCCTGGTTCTTGCTTTTATTGCATACATCTATTGATATCACGGTGTCTTGATGGTTTGAAGCGTTTTTTATTAGTACCATTGTCGTTTTTTTTTTGGTTACATAAAGACACTAGTTTGGTTAACAGGTTTAGACATGGCCTATGTATATTTCTTTCCCTTAATTTGGTTCGTGCGTCATCTTCCATTTTAGGTTTCAATTGGTAGGCTATGGCATGTGAAAGGGGATATAATGTTGTACCTCTCTACGTTGGAGATTGTTTGTATGTGGTGTTCATGATAAACAAGTACTCTAATCCAATTTTCAGAATTGGCATTGCTTTTCTGCTTGTCCTTTTTTTTCGCATTCAGCAAGACTTACCATTTTTTAAATTCATTAGCGAAAATAGTGTATTGTTTTATTATCGTTAGCACCTATGGCAACTAGTGTAAGTTGTTTGGCTATGCGACCATCGGACTTGTTTTATTTTTTAGGTGAGTTTCATTTTCTATATGCAATCAATT